CAGATGTTCAAAGCTCTGGGAATGGAATGCAACCCTTGTGGAGAGCCTATAAATGGACGTATGAGGGGCACCTGTTCATATGGATAAGATAGGGCTATAAATGCCCTTATCTTGCCACGGTTCTTCTAGGTCTCTTTAGCGTTAAGGCATACTCCATTCTGGGAATTTTTGGTCTAACTGGTTGTCTAGCTTCACGTCCTGTTTCTATTGATTGTTTGTAACCAGCTTTTGCTGCAGCTATTTCTGCTGATTAATATCTTGCTAATCATAGGTATGGATGGACTGTGTTTCTGTTTTAAGGCTCTGTTAGAAATTGCTGACGCACACACTATATTGTAAATTCTTATCTCTGTATACTATACTTCTGCATACCAATGTTATGTTAAAGAATTACTTCATCCCCATGTGACCATCTCACCTCATAATCAAACGACCCCAAATCCTTCACTAACCTACCTCCACCCTCACTAAACTTAATAGTAAATGCTGGTATATCCGGTGCATTGGCAGCATCACAGGACCAGAAGGCAGTGACCCCCCTGGACCCAGCTTTCACTACCTTGTGAGTGTCTTCTATTTCTCGACCTGCCAATCTGCCTGGGAACAAGGAAAGAGCCTCATCACATTGAGGGCTGCTGGCCAGATCCCACAATAGGTATACAAATCAAATAGTCTCAGGTTCAAATCCTTATTCATTATTATTTAGCTGAATAACCTGGGCAGTTCACTGTTTGTTCTCAGTCAGTTTGCTCCATGGTAAAATGGAAGCAACACCAGATCATACCTAACTTGTGTGCCTATCATGAAGATGAAATGAAAATTAACATAAAAATCCTTATGTAAGATCTATTAGTTAGTACTTCATGTTTTCCAATTGCAAGAATGTAAATTTAATTATAACTAAATTACACAATTTAACTCCAATTGTCTTACACTCAGAAATATAAAAATGCAAACCTATATAAAATAAAAATAAACAGTGACAGTGCGATAAAAAAAAAATCACAGGGCCAAGGATGAGATCCTAGTCTCAGTTTTATCACTGGCTAGTTTTGTGACATTAGGCAAGTCATTTAACCTCTCTAGAAACACCTATCCTAGGAATACAACAAAAGTGCAGATCAAGCTTCTTATTCCAGACAAGGTTGAATGAAAGCTTTCCATTTTACTTCTATTAATCATGACACCAACTAACACAGACAAAAATATCTTCAAGAAAAGTCTACTCTCTCTAGCCAAAGGACTAGGAAAAGGAAAGCCCAACAGGACAGAAACCATTTAGCCTTTTTACTTCTTTGTTGTGGAGGCAAATACCATGAAAAACATTTGACCCTTCCCAATTCTAAAAGGTCCTACAGCCATGGAGTACATGGACAGTACCTTGTCTTTCACCCTACTTTGCAATAACGAGGTAGTACCCTTCTCTGCTGAGGCTGTGAGCTGAATTGTGAGTTCTATTCCGAAGCTGAAGTAAAGAAACTCCCTGCAAGAGTCAGAGGGCAAATTAGGACTTCCAGCCTTCTTCTATAGTAATAAGGAGGTGCACTTCCCCTTGGAGCAGATATGGGCAGATCTCTGACTCTCTTCCCTCTGTAGTAAAGAGTAAGCTAGTATACCAGAGGGTTTCCTGTCTTCTGTTCCATATTCCATTTCCCAAGCTTGTACTGATGAGAATGTGAGATGGGCTCCTGTGGGAGTGGGTAGTGGAGTAGACCAGAATAGCACTGCAGAAGCTTTATAACCTGCATTGGTATTTGAACTGCCGCCCACAAAAGTGAGCATTCAGAATCTAAATAGGCTATATGCTAAAATAAAAGATCTGTATAGTATCCAGGGTAAGTCTTACAACAAATATATAAAATGTCCAGGATATAGTCCATAATTACTCACCTTATCAAGAATCAAGAGAACATCAATTTGAGTGAATTGACACCAACAGTGAGATGATACAGATGTTGGAAATACAGAATAATTAAATATTTAAAAGCAGCTGTTATAAAGCTTTTCCAATAACTATGAATAGTCTCAAAACAAACAAAAAATTAGGAAATTTTAACAAAGAAATAGAAGATAAAGAAGAACCAAGTGAAAATGTTAGAACTGAAAAATACAATAGAATAAATTTAAGAATTCAATAAAATAGCTCAATAGCAGAATGGCAGTAATAGAAGAATCTGTGAAATTGAAGACAGATCAGAACATATTCAAACTAAACAACACAGAGAAACTACATTGGAAACAACAAAAACTGAGTTTCAGGAACTTGTAACACAACAAGAGATCTAACATTTGTGCCATCAGTATCCAAGAGTCCAAGAAAGAGAGGAAAAAGAATATGTAGTTGAAGAATATTTGAAGAAAGAGTGGCTGAAACTCCTCCAAACTGGCAAAATACAAATCTATAGTTTCAGAAACCCAAACAGGATAAACCCAAAGAAAGTGGCACCAAGATCTATCATAATTAAACCTCTAAAAATTAAACAAAAACATAAACAAAGAAAATTTCTTGAAGGAAGGCAGTGAGAAAAGGTTCATTACATATGGGGGATAACAATTCAGATGACAGTATATTTCTTAACAGAAACCACAGAGGCCAAAAAGAAGTAGCACAACCTTTTAAAATGTTGAATGAAAGGAATTGTCAACCTAGAATTCTATGTCCAGTGCAAATGTACTTCAGAAATGAAGGTGAAATGAAAACATTCTTAGATGAAGGAAAGCTAAGAGAATTTCTTGCCAGTACAACTGCACTATGAGAATGACTAAAGATAGTTCTTCAGATCTGAAAGGATATGATAAGCTTGTAACATCAGAAATGAAAAAAGATAAATGGAAAGGGTAAATAAACGGGTAAATACAATAGACTATTATTCTCTCGAGTTTTCAAAATTGAATTTAACATTTAAAAGTAAAATTATAGTATTATCTGATGTAGTTCTCAACGTATATAGAGATAACACTTATGACAATTATGAAGTAGAGAGGGTAAAGGAACCTAAATGGTTGCAAGATATCTATATTTCATTTGAGGTGGTAAAATTTTTATACTAATAGACTGCAATCAGCTACATCTGCATATTGTAATCCTTAGAGCAATCACTTGTAAAACACAATACAAAAAGAGCTGCTAAAATCACCTCAGATAAATAAGAATAAAATTATTTTTAATATGTTGAAGTGATTCACAGGAAGATGGGAAAAGGAAAATAGAGGCATAAAAAACAGGAAAAACAAATAATAAAATGCTAGACAAATCTTAGTATGTCAATAATTACATTAAATATAAATAGTCTACATTCAGCAATTAAAAGACAGAGATTGCCAGAATGAAAAAAAGACTCAAGTATATGCTGTTTTCAAGAAACTAATTTCAAGTATAATGATACAAGAAGGTTAAAAGTTAAAGCTTTAATAGAAATGCATGTACCGAGCACATACTAATCAGAAACAAAGTTGTTGTGGCTATATTAATCAGATAAAGTAAAGTTTAGGCAAATAAATTTTGAAGAATTAAGAGGGACATTACAGGATAAAGGGATCAATTCACTAAGAAGACATGATAATCTTAAACGTGTATGTGCAAAACAATAGAGTTTCTAAATACATAAAGGAAAAACTACTAGAACTGGGGAGAAATAGATACTCTCAATTGTCCTTGGAAACTTCAACATTCCTCTTTCAGTAATTGATAGAATAAGTAGACAAGAAGTCAATAAGGACAGAGGCGAACCAAACAATATCATTACTCAGTAAAATCAAATTGATATTGATATCAATTACTTCACCCAATAATAATTTATATCAATTATTCCACCCAACAATACATATTTTTTCCAGCCTGCATGGCACATTTATCAAGATAGACTATATCTTGTGTCATTTAATCAACCTTAACATATTTAAAAGAACTGAAATTGTACAAAGTATGATGTTTGACCACAATGGAATCAAACTGGAAATAATTAACAGAATGATAACAAGAAAATCTCCACATACCTGGAAATTAAACAACATATTTACTAAACAAGGGCACAGGTTTGGGGGCTTAGCTTTAACATTCTGTGACTAATTCTGTCAGTCAGTATTACCAATGGGGTATTTCTCTCATAAAGTGATAAAACTTGGTCTATCAATATTTGAGTACAATATACAGCCATGTGTTTAAAGCACTGCAGGTATGTGTAGGGAAAGGATAACTAATATTTGTTATGTACCAACTATAAGCCATGTCAATATTGACCACTCACTATTTTAATCTTCATAATCACTTGTCTTGCTGTTCTCTCTCAGCAAGATACCTGTGCTGAGTGGCAGGAAAACCGGCACTGGTTTCTTGAGATAGAGTTTGATGGCTGAGAGAACTTGAAAGAATTCGGTCACCAGAGTTGGGGAGCCCGGATGGGAGATTATTGCATAGAAGCAGAAAGAGGCTGCATCAAGAAGGGTCCCAGGTGGTTCAGTCAGGAGTCTGAATACCGTTTGGCAAAAATTTAAGCAAAGCAGGAACATTTGAAAATTATTACTTAGTGAGCGTGCACTGCAAGGGAAGGAGACTGAAGGTGGAGGGATCAATTAGTGTAGTGGGAATAACTCAGTTGAGAAGTGATGAAGATTGAGGTAGTATTATCACCACTTTATGTACGGGAAATGAAGTTTCTCAGAAAGAAAGTATAGCGTTTTTGAGGACAATCATATAAAAGAGGACAAGGTAATCACATTACAAATAAGGCGTTCCAATAATGTTTAACATGACGACATACAAATTAGTAAACATTTAATAATATTCCATCCCTAGAAAGTGTAGGTGGAATCATGCCTGTTAATGGGTTAGGAAACGAAACCCAAAGTGGGTTTTACCAGGTTACTAGCCTTAGCCACACCACTTCCTGCCCTTCAACCCCCACTCCACCCACGCTCCCGGAACGTCCGGGAATGTCCCTTGTGCTGCTGCAGAGCAGGGTTAGGGTGAGGACACGCCAGGTACCTTCTCCCGCTCCTACCTGCTGAACCTCCAGGTGCGACTGCTCAAAGTTCACATGGAAGAAGTTGCCAACGAAGGGCAGGGGCCAGGGCCCCGGCGGGTAGTTCTTTGGGCGCCGTCTTTTGAGAAAGTCAGCAACGAGCAGAAAGGCGACAGTGCCCAGCAGGAGAGTTCGAGGATGGACCACTGCCCAGAGGGCAGCCGCCAGAGAGCCTAGCGCTGCGAGCATGTCTCAGACGTCCTCCTGCTTTTCTGCGGTCTAAGCAGTCGCCGGCCCCCGCAGCGCCTCCCCGCCCCGCCTCGCTCCTAGCCGCGCCCCGCCTCCCAGCCCCGCCCCTTCGCTGCACCCTGCGAAGTTGTCAGGCGCTGGATTCCCGGGAGGACACGCACCAGTCTTACAAAAGACCAGGCTAGGAGCAGTTTCTTTTCTATTCAAGAAGCCCATGGGTTTACTGAGAGCATCACAGACATTTGAGCCTCTGTTCGTTTCAATCACCGTCTCTCCCATGATTGGAACCATGCCTGGTAAATAGTGATGACAACAGCAGTACCTAAAATTTCTTGGGCTCTTACTAAATGCCAGACAGCACATCTGCCTCTTTATAAAGATTATTATTTCATTTTGACAAAATTATGCAGGAGAAGCTCTCGGTAGTCTCATCTTGCAGTTGAGGAAACAGAAAGGTTAAGTACTAAGTATGTGGTGAACAAATAAATCCACCCTCTGAAACACATCTAAACGAGGTCCTGTATTTGAAAGTGTTTGGAAGATTAAAAGGCACTACATTAAAGCTGCTAGCACTGAGCAGCATTCATAATAAGTGCTTAATGAACATTTGTTGAAGGAATGTCTTAGTCCTGATCCTTGCTGGTTTGCTTTGAAAGGCTCCTCTCCGAAGCCCCAAGACTGTGGGACCGCCGGGTTCTGGCCTTTCATACCATCTGGTGAGTGCCTGCTTGGGTCTCACAAATGGTGAGACTCAAAACATGAAACATAGCTCGGGAATAGTATAGTATACACTCATGTACTCAAAATAGAGTCACATATTCTGCTTACAATATTTTATTTCTTTATTTATTTTTGAGATGGAGTCTTGCTCTGTCACCCAGGCTGGCGTTCAGTGTCACCATCTCAGCTCACTGCAACCTCTGCCTCCGGGTTCCAGCGATTCTTCTGCTTCAGCCTCTCATGTAGTTGGGACTACAGGCACGTGTCACCACGTTCGGCTAATTTTTGTATTTTTGGCAGAGACGGGGTTTTGCCATGTTGGTCAGGCTGGTCTCTGTCTCCTGACCATAGGTGATCTTCCCACCTCGGCCTCCCAAAGTGCTGGGATTACAGGCGTGAGCCACTGCACCCAGCCCCCTTTTATTTTTATTTTTTTACATTAAAAAAATGATGCAGGGGAATGACTTCCATAATGGCAGCATGAGAAACCCCATAAAACCTCATCCTAGTAAAAAACTGTGATTGCTAAAAATTATTTGTAAAACTAAAATAATTTAAGTCCCTGAAAATTGTTATAAAGGCAGACAGTAAATAAATAAATTTTATTTAAGAAGAATCTACTAAACCCTAGTAAACACAGTAAGAGTCTGTGGCATTTGAACCATAACCCACTCCTTCTCCTAGTCCTCAGATCAGTGTGACAGAAACCTCATTCTAGACAGTTATATCCAAGAACACTTTCCCTAGATCCCAAATGAAGGCTACAGTATCTCCCTGAGAGGGAAAAAATGCCAGCATTTCTCATACCTAGCCCCCCAAATTTCATGTTGCAGAAGCTCTATTCTAGGCAAGACTGGCTAAGAAGTCTAGGGATATCCTCCTCCATCCAGCCCTCACTTGTAATGCAAAAACAATACCTGCCCATGCCATAATTGCCCTCATCCCAGCTTGCTCATGAGATAGAGGTTCCACAGTGGGAGAGGTTAGCCACAAACACCACAGATGAATGCCTGAAACAATAGAGATTTTGGTGGTAAGCAATTAAGAGAAGGCTGGCAGTTCTATGAGAACAAGAAGCTAAACCATAGGCTAACTAGAAGTTTACCAAAGTCAGTCAGCACAAGAGTTAGCCAGGAAGAGCCTTCCTGGGATCAGGACAAATCTCAAAGTCTGGCCTCAAAGACTATTCCTGAGAAGCAGCCCAAATTTAATTGGATCAAATTGTGAAGCAATGTATGCCCCAAGGCATTGTTGAAAACAATAGAGCAGTCAGCTGGACGTCAGCAGAGACTGTGTGTAATACCAACAGAGGCAGACAGTTTTAAATATAGAACAGAGAAAAAGATAGTCAAAGAGAGCCCTGCTAAAGCCAATGTCATTGTATTGTGACTGTGTGCACACCCAAGTCCATGCCCTCAGGTAAGTGACATCAGAGGCTTTACACTGTGGGGAAATATGGTTCACTAAATTAGTCAGTCCTGTCAAGTCAGTAAACAAATGAAAGTACAAACAAAAAGAATTGGAAGAGAAGGGTAGATCATTAGCCATAATTGCCATAATATATTATCTAAAATGTACAGTTTTCAACAAAAAATGATAAGACATGCAAAGAATCAAGAAAGTGTGACCCAACAGAGGAAAGAAAGCAGGCAACTCAAACTGCCTGTGAGACAGCCCAGATGTCAAACAGCCAGGACTGTAAAGCAACTTAATTATAAATATGTCCAAAGAACTAAAGAAAATCATGGTGAAGAAAGTAAAGGAATGTATGAGACAGTGTCTCAACAGATAGAGGATATCAATAATGAGATAGAAATTATAAAAAAAAGTGGAAATTGAATTCAAAATTGCAATAACTGAAATTTTAAAAATCACTACAGGGGATCAACAGTAGATGTAAAGTAGAAAAGGAAAGAATCAGTGAGTTTGAAGATAGCTTGATAGAGATTATGCAATGTAGAGGACAGAGACAGAAAAAAAGAATAAACTATCTCAGAGAAATGTGGGACATCACTAAACACACCAGCATATATGTCATCAGAATACCATAGAATACAATGGCGAGAAAAGAGCAGAAATGTATTTGAGGAAATAATAGCTGTAAAATTTCCAAAATTTCATGAAAAACATTAATCTATGTATCCAAAAATTCCAGTGAGCTCCAAATAGGATAAATGCAAAGAAATCCACATGCAAATACATCGTAGTAAAAATACCTCATAGTAAAAATACTGAAAGACAAAGACAAAGAGAAAATCCTGCAAGCAGCATGAGAAAAATAGTTCATCCAATACATTGGAACTCCAAAAAGATTAACAGCTGACTTGTAATTAGAGAAAATGGAGACCAAAAGGCAGTATATATTCAAAGTGCTAAAAGAAAAGAAAAAAACTCAGAAAACTGTTAATCCACTTGAGGTGTGTCCACCTCTTGGTTATTGTGAATAACTGCTGCTACAAATGAAGGTGTGTAAATATCTCTGAGATTCTGCTTTCAATTCTTTTGGGTGTGTTCCCAGAGACAGAGTTGCTGGATCATATGGTAGCTCTATTTCTTAATATTTGTAGGAACTACCATGCTGTTTTTCATAGGGATTACACCATTTTGCATTCCTAGAAGCTGTTCCCAAGATTTTCAGTATCTCCACAACTTCATCTGTATTTGTTATCTTCTGTTATTTTTTGTTATACTATTCATCCTAATATGTGTAAAGTAGAATCTTACTGTGATTTTGATCTTAATTTCCCTAATAATTGGTGATGCTAAGTATATTTTCATGTTATGGTTGTTCATTTGCATATCTTCTTTGGAAAAATGTGTATTCAGGTTCTTTGCCAATTTTTAACTGGGCTGTTTAATTATGGGAGTTATTTATGTATTCTGTATATTAATCTTATCAAATATATGATTTGTGAATATTTTCTCCATAAAAAAAAGTATCAGCCAAGAATCTTACATGAAGCAGATGGTTCATTTTTTAAAAAATGAAAGGAAAAGCAGTTATACTCTGGCCCAGAGGGTCCCATGCCCACAGAGCCTCCCTCTTTGCTAGCAGAGCAGTCTGAGATCTAACTGCAAGGTGGCAGTGAGGCTGGGGGAGGGGTGCCCACCATTGCTGAGGCTTGAGTAGGTAAACAAAGTGGCCAGGAAGCTCAAACTGGGTGGAGCCCATCGCAGCTCAAGGAGGCCTGCCTGCCTCTGTAGACTCCACCTCTGGGGACAGGGCATAGCCAAACAAAAGGCAGCAGAAAACTCTGCAGATTTAAATGTCCCTGTCTGGCAGCTTTGAAGAGAGTAGTAGTTCTCCCAGCATGGAGTTTGAGATCTGAGAACGGACAGACTGCCTCCTCAAGTGGGTCCCTGACCACCAAGTAGCCTAATTGGGAGACACCTCCCACTGGGGGAAGACTGACACTTCACACCTCACATGGCCGGGTACCCCTCTGAGACGAAGCTTCCAGAGGAACGATCAGGCAGCAACATTTACTGTTCAGCAAGAGTCACTCTTCTGCAGCCTCCGCTGCTGACACCTAGGCAAACAGGGTCTAGAGTGGACCTCCAGCAAACTCCAACAGACCTGCAGTCGAGGGTCCTGACTGTTAGAAGGAAAACTAACAAACAGAAAGAACATCCACACCAAAACCCCATCTGTACGTCACCATCATCAAAGACCAAAGGTAGATAAAACCACAAAGATGGGGAAAAAGCAGAGCAGAAAAGCTGAAAATTCTAAAAATCATACCACTTCTCCCCCTCCAAAGGAATGCAATTCCTTGCCAGCGATGGAACAAAGCTGGATGGAGAATGACTTTGACAAGTTGAGAGAAGCCTTCAGAGCTGAAAACCATGGCACGAGAACTACGTGACAAATGCACAAGCTTCAGTAACTGATTAAATCAACTGGAAGAAGATCAAATGAATAAAGTGAAGTGAGAAGAGAAGTTTAGACAAAAAAGAGTAAAAAGAAATGAACAAAGACTCCAAGAAATATGGGACTGTGTGAAAAAACCAAATCTATGTCTGATTGGTGTACCTGAAAGTGACAGGGAGAATGGAACAAAGTTGGAAAACACTCTGCAGGATATTATCCAGGAGAACTTCCCCAACCTAGCAAGGCAGGCCAATGTTCAAATTCAGGAAATACAGAGAATGCCACAAAGATACTCCCCAAGAAGAGCAACTCCAATACACATAATTGTCAGATTTACCAAAGTTGAAATGAAGGAGAAAATGTTAAGGGCAGCCAGAGAGAAAGGTCGGGTTACCCACAAAGGGAAGCCCATCAGACTAACAGCAGGTCTCTTGGCAGAAACTCCACAAGCCAGAAGAGAGTGGG